GTGCTACAGGGAGACCCTGTCTCAATCAAAACAATAAAAGATTTAAATTTTTTAATTTATTTTTATTTTATGTGTATGAGTGTTTTGCCTGCATGCATGTAAGTGCATCAAGTGTGTGCAATGCCTGTGGAGGCCAGAAGAGGGCATTGGATCCTCTGGAATTGGAGTTATAGATGATTGTTAGGCACGTGTGGATGCTGGGACCTGAACTTGGGTTCTCTGAAGAGCAGCCAGTGCTTTTAATTGTTGAGCCATCTCTCCAGTCACAAGAAGAGATTTTAACATAGATTTAAATACAGGGGTTAATAGAGAGGTACTCAGGGAAAAAATAGTATACACCTAAGCATGGGTGTGGGCTTCTCAAGGACTCATGCTTAAGTGGATTAGCAGTAGCCACATATAATTTTGGTGACTCTTGAAGTTATGCTGTCCAAAAGGATTGTAAAGAACTTTTTTTCCTTCTCTTTTTTTGGTAAATGAGATCATAGGGTAATTCCTAAGGAGCCTTGGGTAGGATTACAATCTGATACAGTAAAACCTTGGATCACAAGGTTGCACAAGGGGGTTAAGACATGCCTTTTACTGTAAATGGAGAATCTGGTGAGATTCTTAGAAAATTACATGTTCACTGCTGGCTAAGAGAAAGATCGCACTCTTATCATGCATGTTTGGGCCTTAAGCATGGGTCATTGCTTTTTTGACATCTTCTTCAAAATATATACATGAAAGAAACAGTGTTTCTATGTAGGTACCCTTCACAGAAAATGTTTCTAATTATGCTGAAATTCTTTTATTGTTTAATTTTTTTAAAAATTTAATGTTTTTATTAGTATATATTAATTATACAGAAAGGGTTTCATTTGACATTTTCTGCCCCGAACCAAGACTCCGACCAGCAAAGCCGAGGAAAGGACAACACGGACGCCAAGGTAGGGTTCAGGCTTCTTCTTTTATTGCGCACTTCAGTTCTTACTGCACTGCGCACTTCAGTTCTTATATATTTTGTTCCCAACAGCCCTCCCCCCAGCTAGGACTAATCAAGGCACACACATGCACACAGCAGGCAGGCAGAATGGCAGCTCATTGGGCCATGTAGCAGGGTCATGCTTGGTGATGTCTCTGATCAGGCAGGCAGCACACGATCGGGCTCATAGCGCTTGCGCGAGTTGGAGTAAACAAGCGAACTTCAGTTCTTATATATTTTGTTCCCAACAGCCCTCCCCCCAGCTAGGACTAATCAAGGCACACACATGCACACAGCAGGCAGGCAGAATGGCAGCTCATTGGGCCATGTAGCAGGGTCATGCTTGGTGATGTCTCTGATCAGGCAGGCAGCACACGATCGGGCTCATAGCGCTTGCGCGAGTTGGAGTAAACAAGCGAGGGTCACGAGGCTTGGCAGCCAGCCAGGGCGCCATCTTTGGCTGACTCGGCCGCACTCGCTCCCAACAATTTTCATACATGTAAATAATGTATTTTGATGATATTTTGTCATCCTAAGCACAGATCCATTACCCTTTCTCATCCCCTTCACTCTCGTTAATTCCTCTTCCCAGCTACCTCTTCTTTAGTGTCTGTATGAAATAAAATCAAGTCTGGCATGGTGTCACACAGCTTTAATCCCAACACTCTGGAGGCAAAGGCAGGCACACTGCTATGAAATTGAGGCCAGCCTGGTCTATGTAGCAAGTTCCAGGTCAGCTGGAGCTACAAGGAGACCTTGTCTCAAAAAAAGAGGGGAGCATGCCAGAGAGCTGGCTCAGTGGTTAAGAACACTGGCTACTCTTGCAGAAACCCTGGGTTTGAATTGCAGCACCCACATGGCGGCTAACAACCATCAATAACTCCAGTTCCAGGGAGATCCAACACCCCTTTTCTGTCCTCCATGGGCACTGCATGACACGGGTGCACTTATATATATGCAGACACAACATTTATACACATAAAATACATTTAAAAAAGAAGCCGGGCATGGTGGCATGCACCTGTAGTCCCAGCACTTGGGAGGCAGAGGCAGGCAGATCTCTGTGAGTTCAAGGCCAGCCTGGCCTACATAGTGAGTGGCTACAGGGAGACCCTGCTTCAAAAAGACAGAAAAAAAAAAAAAGAAAAGAAAGTCAAGCTGGGCATGGTAATGCATACCTTTTCCTAGCATTTAGGATACAGAGGTGGGGGAATCTCTGTGAGTTGCAGGCCAAACTGGTCTACATAGGGAGTAAAATCTGATGGTTCATTTTCAAAATAAAAGTACCTTGAGTCAGTTTAGGTACAGGTGAACAGAAATCACTGGGCCTCTGCTAGCAGCTTGCTAAGTTAGCTACCCCTCTACCCAAAGGAGAAATTTAGACTAGAAAATTACAAACAGCCAAACTTGCTTAATGACCTACAGACATGACAAGGTCCTTGGGTCATTGGTTGAGCCTGCTGGCAGGCCTAAGACTGTGTCCGTGCTGTAGGTAGGTCTCTGGCACACATTATGCATAATATAGTTCTTACACCATTGGTTAACCCGCTGTTGAAGGTGAGCCCCCGAGCTTGTTTCTACACTTGGTGTGGCTGCTCAAGGAACACCCCAGGCTTCAGGGGCTTTGGTTTTTGAAGGAACCCCAAAAGATGGAAGAACCCTGGGAACTGATAGAGCCTCCAGAGGTTCTCTAACATGGTAACTACCAGCTGCATGTAGGTTTTTTTTGTTTGCTTATTTTTCTTCTGAGACGAGGTCTCTCCTTGTAGCCCAGGCTGGTCTACAACTTGATCCTCCTGTTGCAGCCTCCTGAGTGCTATGATTATGGGTAGTGGCTCACATGTTGCAGTCACCGCCAGCGGCAGCCACTCCTCCATTCTCGTGGGTGCTGCTCCTTCGTTCTCATGGGCATCGAGGCTGCTCCTCTGCTTGCCCTGGGCTGAGGCTGCTCTTCTGCTTGCCTGGTGCTGAGGCAGCTCTTCTGCTTGCCCTGTGCTGCCTCCTGTTGTTGCTGCTTCTGCCCAGTCCCAGACCCCAGGGCTGGTGAGGAGACTGTGTCAGCAGAGCCACATTCAGACACAGGAGACCAGGTTCAGTGACACAGGTCTGGTTTATTGCAGGAAGGCACAAGCTTATATGGGGTAGTGGTCCAATCACAGCACAGCAAGTAGGATACCTTATTAGCATAACAGACAGCATCCTATTAGCATAACAGACTTAACGTTCTATCACAGAATAGAGGATACGATGCCTCATTAGCATACTGGGTTCAGATTACAAAGCCTGGATTCCTGGAAACCATGTGACCCTGACAGTTGCAATATCATCCTAGGCTGAAGTCTGTCTCCCACAACATGTGGATTTACATTTTAACTAAATGAGCTATACAATTCAGTTGCTCAGGGCTGGATAGTTTAGTGGCTGCTCTTGCAGAGGACCTGGGTTTGATTCCCAGCACCCACATGGCAGATAACAACCATCCTTAACTCCAGTTCCAGGGGGTCTGATGCCCTCTTCTGACCTCCATGGGCATTGCATGACATGGGTACACTTCCATACATTCAGGCAATACATTCACACACACACACAAACACAGAGATTTAGTTGCAGGGGCTTAGTTGCCCTATATAGTCAGTGGCTATCAGAAACTCGTGCCTTTCTTTAAGGACACCCATGGGAGTTTAGCACCTGCCCCATACACTGCATCTTTTAGCTTATCACAGCTTCCAAGATTTCTTTCCAGATAAGGTTGCATTCCAAAGTTCAAGTGGACATGAACTTGGGGGACCCTCTGTAGTTCACTCTAGAGCAAATGTCATGAGGGTTGCAGGTGCTCTCTTTGGGGCAAGCGCTGTCATTCCAACCAGTGCTCTTTAGTTCTGCTTCCTCCCAGACTTCAGGCAAATGTGGGGCTTGTTTAGGAGTCAGTGGTGTCTGTAGGGAATTGGGCACATCTATAGTCTCCTTTGCAGATTTAGGGCTGCTCTGTAGAAAGGGGGTTACCTGGGGTGGGAACACCCCCCTGAGATCTCGTTCTTCTGAGGAAGTCTGGGCTGGGGATTGGGCTTAGCACCTGTCCTTGGGGTGGGGGCCTGGGCCACCTTGTCCTGGTCGTCTTCCTGTGAGATGCACTTCAAGGATCCATCCACACCCACACTTTGATGAGCGGCTGAGAAGTAGGTACCTTTGGTAGATTTTAGTAGTTACTGAAGTCGCAGGGCAGCTTTTGAAGATATGGAGCTCTGGAATGCTCCATCCAGGTAGTATATCTGTTCTTTATGGATGAGTGGTAGTTTTTAAAAACATCTGGGGATGCTTGCCACAGTGCACATGTAGAAAGGCCAGAGGATAATTTGTGGGCGTCAGTTCTCCCTTTCTACCATATGGGTCCTGGGGCTTGACTACAGGTTGACAGGCTTAGCAGCAATCACCATTTCCTACTAAGCCCTCTCACCAGCCCCAAGTGGTATTTTTGATGTTCTCTTCTGTTCTGCCACCCAACTACTAGGTATGTTTTCCCACTTTGGCCTTTAACCTTGACACAAGCCCCTGGGTTGTGACCTGCTCTTTCTTTGCTTTCATAACATCATTCTTTGTCCTGACCACCACATGCTCTCCCCTTGTTCTCTACAAAATGCAGCTGGCTTTGGCATGTTTACCTTTTAGGCTAGCCTCAACTGTTCTTGAGAGGGGGTGCATATGGAACCAGCAGAGGCCCCTGGCAGCCCCAGCTTCAGGCTTATGTTTTGAGTCTCTGTTGGTGCCATGGGGAGCTGTCTGATGGGCTTGTCCATGCCTTGGGCTTCTCACTCAGAGCCTCCCCTCTTCCCATACCAGCTGCCAGGGCCCCTCCTTCCTGCTTGGGGCCCTGCCCTGCCCTGCCCTATCCTTCTTACCTTATGGCTTTGTCATCCCTGATGAGGAGGGTTTTGGATACCAGGTGTGTGTATAATGTCATCATACCTGGTCTTATGAGGTAGGGTCTCCCCATGACCCTCTTTATAGGTAGGGAAACTGAGACACAGAGTATGACACTTGTCCAGGTGGCAGAGCTGGCTTTGGACCCACCATCATCCTCCAGCTTGCTTTCCCAGACAGTAGTTTATAGGCACAGTTGAACTTGCAACAGTTTATTTTCTATCATGGAACCATTCTCAACAAGCCTTCTGGCATTAAAAGGAATGGAGATAGGAAAAAGTGGGTTTAGTGGGGGGCCTTTGCTCCTGCTAGCTAAGCAGCTGAAGTAGAGGCTGCTGGGCCGAGGGTGGATGAGCTACATGGAGCCACGTTACCCTGGAGCCCAAATGAGAGGCCTCTGCTGGTATGAAGGGCAGTGGACCTTGGCCTGTAAAGAGGCCTCCTGTAGGCCTGCCTGACTTGCATGTGGTTTCAAAGGCACAAGCTTTTGGGGTCAGGAAGACTGATGGCCAGATCGAGTGGGGTTTGTGAATCAGGAGTCTGTGGCATTGATCCTGGCTGCCTGCCGCTGGTGTCTGTGTGATGGTGCCGTAGGACCTGCCTTTTGTATGGCTCAGGGCTTAACACAGAGAACTTTGCCTCCCTCAGCAGCATGGCAGGTGGCAATGATACTACTCCCAGCTGAACGATGGAACATTTGTCAAATGCCAAGTGCCCTTGCCCTTGCCCTGCCTTGCTACCTGATCCCTAGCCCTGGGGGTCCCTTGATGACAATGGTTTCTCCGTTCTTTCATGGAGCAGGCAGGAGCAGGCAGGGCCACCTTGGACACAAAGTGACTGGAGATCAAAGAGGCTGGGAAGGTAGGCACAGAAGGAGGGCTGGGAGGGACAAAGCTTGCAAAGTAAGTCCCCTGTGGAGATCGGGCCTTGGCTGGTCACATCTCTTGATGGGTACTGAGGAGCAAGGGTGGGTACCATGGCATTCTACACACAGTGGTTTCCAGCATCAGAATCTCCCATATGGTATTCCATCCAGATTAGCAAGGATCAGCATCACCTTCCATCCAGAATGACCTGGAACCCACGTATGCCTTTGTGTCTTGGTAAAGGAAGAAAAAAGACAATTTCAGTTGTTGCCTCCCTTTTAAAAATTATTTTTATTTTTTGGGGCTGGAGAGATGGCTCAGCATTTAAAAGCACTGACACAGTTAAGAGCACTGACTGCTCTTGCAGAGAACCCGGGTTCGATTCCCAACACCCACATGGTGGCTGGCTACAAACTGTCCTTAACTGCAGTTCCACGGAAATCTGAAGCCCTCTTCTGACCTCTGAGGCACTGCACAACACAGTTGCACTCACTTGCATGCAGGCAATATACTCAAACACATAAATAAAAATAATAAAATATTTTTAAAATTATTTTTATGCATATAAGTGTATCACCTGCATGTCAGTGTGCCCATGTTGTACAATGCCCAAGGAGGTCAGAAGAGGGTGTTAGATCCCCTGGAACTGGAGTTAAGGATGGCTGTTAGCTGCCATGTGGGTGCTGGGAACTAAACCTAGGTCCTCTGCAAGAGCAGCCAGTACTCTTAACCATTGAGCCATCTCTCTAGCCCTGTTGCCCCCCTTTTCAAAAAAATCTACCAGGTCTGCATGGATATAGACATATATGTTTGTGGTATTTTGAGGACATAAAATGCCAAGTCCAGAGACCCAGAAAAGTCTCTACAGAGAGCTCTATAAAGTATTTACTCAGGTTTTTGCTTAGCTGGGCTTGTTGTTTTTCTTTGCCAGTGTTAATTTTGGTTTGTTTTCTTTTGAGAGAAGGTTGTCTCACTATGTAGCCTTGGTTGGCCTGGAACTCACAGTGTAGACCAGGCTGGACTCAAATTCACAAAAATCGGCCTGCCTCTGCCTCCTAAGTGCTGGGATTAAAGGTGTGTGCTATCATGCCTAACTAGTTTTGGTTTTTGAGACAAGGTCTTAAACTTACAATCTTCCTGCCTCAATCTCCTGAGTCCTAGGATTCCAGGTGTGTGCCAACATGCCTGGCTCTGACTTGATTTTTATTATTTTTATTCATTTATTTATTTTATTTATTTATTTATTTATTTATTTATTTATTTATTTATTTATTTATT